TATTACTTCCTTCTTTTCTTTGGAAAATTCCCTCATCCCTTTTTTTGTATCAAGATGGAGTAGTAGAAAGCCAAAAACTTTCTTTCCCAAAACTTATATAGTAGACTGTGTTAGAGGTATTAACAGCTCAAACTATTCAAAACGTGATGTTCTTTGTGACAGTTTGGCAACATTGATGACGTCACATCAACTATGATTTGAAACGTATTTATGATAATTCAAAACTAGCGTGGCGTGGTTTTGGAACGGAATTTGACGTTGCGTTACGTCAGTTGTCAGTTTCTGCTTTATTTTGATCGTTATAGTTCATAAAGTGCTGATTTTTTTTATCAAATGTCAAACTTTTATTATCAGAAGAATCATGAAATACAAATCAATTAACAGAGTTTGGTTTATTGAAAGAAAAAAGGAAACAAAACGCCTCAAAAGTGCTGCTTTGTTCCCTCCTGTTCATAAAAAGAGGACATGTCTCCTCACTCACGAGCGATTTTGGTGAAATTGGGGACACGTGTGAATCGTATTCATTCCACGTGCCACTATAAGGGTGTCTGCAATATACTGTGTGATACCCGTTGTAAGTAGTTCTACTGTGATTCGAAAGTGCATTCAGATTGTAACGGCAAGGAGCATAATTGCTCATATCTAATCCTTCTAAAGAAAACTGAATAGCAACATTCAATATTTCCGTTGGAGAGAATCTCTTTGAGTGAATTACTAAAATACGGGGAAACTAATGGATTGATAGGGACTTTGTGCATTTTCTTCTTTCCTTGCACCTCGAACAGATTGGTTTTTCATTTCCATCTAACGTTTCCTATTTTGTCAAGTTGTGAAGAAATCCACGCATTGTGACTAACTCAATTGGCCAGTTCTTTGTGGAATAGGGAGAGACAAATCCCAGAAAGGATCGATGGTTACTGATGAGAATCCACAGTGTGTGCACTTCATAGTAGATTCTAATCGACCAACGAAATTGTCTTCAACCTTAGAGTTGTTCATGTTCAAGGAGCTCAGACAGGACTCTTGCGCTTTTCCACTGTCGCTCAATGAAGAAAATTGAAGTTTGTTTTTATCATTGAATTTGACATAACTCCATCGCAACGAATCTAATTATTAATGACGTCACTATGAATCGTTTTTCAATACACGCTGGATTAAACGCCAGAAAACACCTCTGGTTTAAACACACGGAAATGTTTAGAAACTGTGCAAGACGTGATGCGTAGAATCAAAAAATCTGAAGTAGTACAAGATGCTATCGGTTTGATTCATGCTTGTGCTCTCGAGAGACAGACACCGAAAGAAAATTGAATTTTTTCTCCTTTTTTTTATCTATTTCCATTATCTGTTTAAAAATCTGTTTTTCCGATAATCAGCTGTCGCACCCCTACGAACGACAACTCTCAAAAGTCGAAACTTGTGTGAGCTAAGGACTAACGAGGTCTTACCTTTTAACGTGTGATTCCTCACACGGACTGGACGATAGCAAGTGAAAATCGATCGTTCAGTCTGGGTCAATTCGAGTGAATGAACAAAGCACCCACACCGAACCGACCGGCTACCGTATTTCCAATATTTAAACTTCTATACTGATACGAACAAACAATTATCGGTATCTTCACATGAAATATTAATTATTTCCCAAATCTAAGTATATTTTCCTATCTTCAACATGATAATGACGATTACAGTCTACGGAAATCAAAAAAATGTGGTCAAGTATATAAAATGAGTCAATGTCGGTCCCGACATATCTCACGCTGTAAATACCCAACATTCGCAGTTACTTTCAATATCTTACGTTGGTGTAGAGGCTAAGGACAATGTCTACCGCGCGGACGATCCAGGTTCGAATCTCATAACTATGAACTCTTTTTAATTAGAATCACGTGACTGGAACGAGACAAGGGGGCCGAGGGGTGATGCGGAGTCCCAAGGAGACCGAGTTCCATGCTTGAATCGCTACGGTACTCGTTCCATCCTGCGTCCATGACGTCACACGTTTCTCTCTTCCACTCACTAAAGTTTCTCTATGAAATACTCACCAGCGACGCACGACCTTGAACTGCGCCAGAATTCGCCTTGTTCATCTACTCGGATCGCATCCGAAACGTCTAATTTTCCATGACTCTGGCGTATGAATCAGGCTGAATTCGACCGATGGCATGGGTTATGTTGGTTTTGAGGACCGCTGTGGTTTGTGTTTTATTCACATACACCTGCGACTCAAGAAAACACCACAAGAAAAAGTCTAACGGGGTTAAATCACACAGTCTCGGTGGACACTTCACATCACCTCCATTACAGGAGCATACTACGCAAAAAGGCCACATTTTCAGAAAGAGAAAATCCTGTTTGAAAAAGACAACGCGCCGTCTCACACCTCAGCGAATGTCACGGCGAAAATCCACTCGCCTCACTCACAAGATCTAGCTTCAGCGACTTTTTTTGTTCTCCCATGTCTCTTGTGTAGAGTTCAAAGGAGACTATGTTGAAAAAAAATCTTTGAAATTTTTTTTTGTATCTTTGTTAGGTAGGAAACTTTTGAGATTACCCTAGTAATTAGTATTGATGGATACAATATACACGGCAAGATCGTGTTGGAAGGGGAGGGGGTAGAGCCGTAGTTTTTGACAAAAACAATGCGATAGGTACATAGAAAATTCATGAACTCAAAAAATCAATTAACACACAGTTAAATTTTTAGTCCTCACATTTTTCTACAAGACAGTGGGTCTTGCAAACTTTTTCGAAATAGAAGGAAGAGTTTTTCCTTGTCCTAGTCCTATTGGGGCTGTTGAAATCTACATACGCCATACCGAATTTTGCTCTGAAAAAGCCAAAAATGTAGTATGATGAGTGAAAATGTCAGTTAACTCACGTGTATCCAGAAATCCACTCGAAATTATCCATCAAACTCCAAACAGAATAGGCCATAACGTTAACTCCATCCTCATCCATAGCGTCTCGTGTATTACTCAAATACTCCTGAAAAGATATTTGATAATAATGAAAGAATTTTCACACTTTTATTTCAATAAAGAAGTTGTTTGTCAGCAACTTACTACTATATGATGACAAATGTAAAATATGAAAACCTCCAACTTTCTCAGTAGTTGTTTGGGGAGATTTGAAATATCTATGAACAGCTACTAAGATTGTTGAAAGAATCGTATTTCACACTCTTCAAAATTAGTTGTTAAAGGTATGGTTCTATGACATTTGTGAATAATTTAAGTTCCATGTTCTGTGATCACAGATCCATCACATTCTCATTCAATATTTTTGACATAACAACTGGTATTCTCAATGCGCCCAAAAAGAATGTGCTTGATTATAATGACAATTTTCACATATAACTCAATGAATGTTTTTAAATTTGTAACAATCTATTTATTTTCAACAAGACTATGTGTGTTTTTCTCATCATACAACAGTAATGTTTTTTGCCGCTATTGTTGTAGTCAATAAATACAGAGATCGATAATTGGGGAAACAACTTCTTTGTCTTGAAAAGATAGATAAAAACTTCAAGATTTTGTATAAAGTTGCTAGCAACTTTTGCTGGGCTTCATCGTCTTCTATTTCAGTGTATTCGATTACTTTAGATATTAGAAGCGAGAAAACTTATGTAAAATGGAAAAAATATGAAGACGGCTTTTTTATTTATTGTTGACTACTTAGGGCCGGTTTATCAATCGCCAGCTAACCTCATTTGACTAATGGTTTTGTCTTAGCTCCTAGTCAAACTGTTTTTCGTTATCATGTTACAAACAAGCCCCTGAAATAGTCACTTATGCCAACCTTAGTTAACTAACAGTTATTAAACATTAGCATCAGTCAGGGTATGATAAACGATTTGAATAGTAACTGCAACATTGACTATCAGCTAAGCTTAGCTTCGAGGTAGCTAACAGGAGCATTTAACTACATATTGATAAACCGGCCCTTAGACAAGAGAAGGTCTAAGGTTGACTAGTTGTTGCGTATTTTTGGGCTTTGTCCTTGGACATATACCCAGCTTCAAACTCCAAGACCAATAAATAGTTTCTTTAAGTAGGTTATAGAAATAATAGTGATCTACTGATGACAGATCGAAAAAAATTCTCATATCATTCATGACTAGTCGATTTCTAACAATTGACAGGATCTGAACTAATTCTATGAATAAATAAATAACCTCACCTTGATATAATTCTCTCTGACGTCATCATCCAACTGTCCTGTGCTGTCAGCCCATCCATTCTCTGTTATTATTATATTCGGATTGAAATATTCGTCTTTGAGCCAGTTCAGTAATTTTCGCATTCCCCAGGGAACGTACTATGCAAGAATTAAAATGTTGCCAGATTGTTTTACAAATCTATCCTAATCTAATATATAAAAATGGATGTTTGTTGGTTGGTAAATGATAAACTTCTACATTGCTCGGCCGATCGTGATGAAATTTGACATGTATAAGTAATTTTTCATAGAGAAAGTTTTTAGGCTATCAATTTTTCTGTAACTCGCCAGTAGATGGCGCTCTGGAACAATTTTTGAAAGCACTGTTCTATGACGCTGCGCACGCCTAAGTTCGTTGATTCTGATTCTGCCAAAACATTGGAACAGCAGCGATACACCAACATAGTACTAGTATTATGAATGCGAAAGTTTGTGAGGGTGGATAAATGTGTGTATGAATGTATGTTTGTGGCTCTTTCACGCCTAAACGACTGAACGGATTTAGATGAAACTTTACATTGATACAGCTTGTACATCAGAATAACATATAGACTACAATTTACAACTGTTCTGTGTGATTTTGGTCATAATATAAGGATAAGTATAAAGTAAGTCGAAAAAGTTATTGCTCCTTTATTGAGGGCTATCTTGGCGTGCGTTGCCTATACCGTTGGAGTACATGGAGATAATGTACCGTAAGATTGTTTATCTTAAATAGTTCTAAATAAAAGTCCGCGATAGTATATATCTACCTCTTATGTAGTAGCCACTATATGCAAAATACTGATACAATTGTCGTTTCAAGTATTTAATATAGATAAACTTGGTTTTTGATATTGAGTAATTTGGACGAATCGTTTGAAAGTTATCACGATAAGATTAACTTGACGCAACGCAGTGAGCCATTACGCGTCGCGTCTACTGTAAGACGACGGGGATAAAATAATTCGATTCTAGAAGCTATTCATTACTTAATGCAGTTATCATATTTTTTTAGTTACTGCAGTTTTAAAGTAAAAATATAAATCACTAGATGTTGGCCGCGGCTTCGCCCACGCAAGTTTACATCGAAATGTGCGCAAAAGGCCAAAAATTCAACATTTATAAGCTGAACCAATCTTAATGTAATGTTGAATCATTTCAACTCTTCAGTGATAATGTTGAGGTTAATGGTAATTAATTCTTCGAGTTATGGCTTGTGCTGAGAATGTCTAGTTCTCTTGTTTTTTTTGTAATGTTACCATTGTTTGTATTTTATTATGGCATATCACATTACCAAAGTGTCGAATAAATAGATCAAATGAATGAATATATATACTAACTTTTAACCATGACAATGAGGAAGATAACCAATCATCTCGTTGGTAAGTAAAAACGCCAATATCTGCAGTACTGTTGGGAGAAGATATTTCGGGTTCTTCGATTGCTTTAACTAGAATGGTTGTATAATGGTTCATCGCAAAGAAATCATTGGTTCCTTTGATGTAGTCGATTTGCTCCTGAGTCAACTCCGGCAATCGAGATTGGTTGAAACCCTCGAGCTTGCTTCTCATGGCGATTCTAGTTTTCATTATCTCCGGCCAGTCTCCGTAGTAGAGAGGATGTGCAAAGGATCCCCACTGAAAGAAACGGAAACATCAATTCAATGGAGGGCGAACTGGAACCTGGTGAATGTCAAAATGAAAGGAGATGCAGCTTTCCATAGCTCAAAGACGAAAGAGATTAAGCCCCCCAACTCTTCTCGGTTGAAAGACAAAAGAAACAATACAAAGGAAACGTAATAATCGACAGTTGTTGAGCATAAGATGATAGATTTTACTGACAGTTGATAAAAAGGAAACTTCAGACTTACAATGAATTGCATTCTAGTTTCAGCTGCGTTTATATCTTCCGTGGAGTTTGAAGCTGGCTCCATCCATTCACCGTTCAAAGCCATCGCCACTTTCCCTGATAAAAACAAAATGAAAGGTTAGGAAATGGTGAGACAATTACAGTAGGTCTATTTACAGATTCATTTGTCTGAAAATGTGAAGATAAATGGAGGTGAATCAAAAAGCAATGATTAGAATATAAAAATCATTCTAATATGCGAGGAAAAATTATTAGAATGATAATTTTCATAAAAGGTTCACTGAATTCCAACTCACCTTTCTGTTTGTTCCTAAACTCTTTATCGTACACATGCCAGGCTGCGGCATGAGCTGTCAACAACCTCAAAGCGCATATATAAGTGTCTACCCCGTCAACAAAGGGTCCAGAATTTGAAGCCGTCGCACAAACCTCGAAAGGTTCATTAATTGTGAGCCAGTAAGAGACGTCATCACCAAATAGTTCGAAACACACACTGGAATAGTTGGCAAACCACTCGGGAAACAAAGGACTCAAAAAGCCTCCTTCATCTTGTAAGGATTGTGGCAAATCATTGTGATAAATCACTACAATAGGTTGGATTTGATTGATTTTAAGTTCTCGGATGAGGTTCTTGTAATATTTCACGCCTGCTTCGTTGATTTCATTCGCATAACCTGGAATTTCAAAGCTGGTGAGATGGTGGGTGAATTAAAATAATTCCATTTATGGAATCAACCAGAACATTCGTTCATTAACACACTAGGACATTGAGTAGAGGTTTAATTGAAATATAATCGTTTGTCTGTGTGTTTTATGGCAATCAACTGTTACTTGATTATAATTTCTATGGTATCATATGACCTTCTACCTGATCAGCGAAGAAATATGTTGAAAAAAAACACAATAACCAGGAAAATGGGAGATAGTCGAAAGAAGAGTTTCTGGTTGTTTTTTGGGACAGAAAAGAAATAAGAAGAGGAAGAGGAAGAAGTAATTGTATTTATCAAAAGAAGAGCAGTTGTTTTCTTTACAGGGATCATTTACTTACCAGTCGGCAGTATTCTAGTCCATGCTAGAGAAAACTTATAGTGGTCGACTCCTAAGTCTCTAAGAATAGCGACATCTTCCTTGTATTTATGGTATGAATCGCAAGCAACTGTGGCGTTCGATCCATCAATGACTATGGAAGGTTGTTTACTGAATGCTCTATCACATGTACTCTCGGTTTTCCCATCTAAGTTCCATGCTCCTGAAAGATATCAGTTTTTGACAGAAGTGATACGTTTTTTCTTTGTCGATCAAAATCACAAATATTATAATATACGCTGTATGTTCAATTTTTATTTTGTCCCCTTCAGGGAACAGGTAAAAGTCGCAGGGAGGCAAATCTGGTGAATACAGTGGCCGAGGCATGATTAAGGTGTTGTTTTCGGCCAAAACACAATACTTAGGTATTATTTATTTCAACAAAAATAATATTTAATTAAAACAGGCTGCTAAAGGATCGCTCTACTTTACAGGTCCTGTATGGTAAAGCGATCAAAATTTTCAATGTTTTTTCCGTTTCGGGAAAGAAGGAATTCGTTTCTTTTAGGACATCAACAACTGTAAGATTTGTTCGATTAAGCCTATCGTGCCACAATTGCTGCCAAAGATCGATTTCATTCTTTATGTTCGGTAAATCATAAAACTGGGCAATGGATACACAAGTTTGTTTCAGATTTTCATTTGTCATCTTTTGCATCTGCGCCGTGTTTCCTTCAGGAAAACGTACTTGAAGGGAGATGATAATTGAATCCAAGTATGGTATTACTAAAGACCTCTTCCAGTATTCTGAAGAGATTTCTGCTGGATGATTACTTCTATGACGTTGTTTCCCCGCAACAGCAGTAGCTTCCTTTATAATTTTGTCTGTCATTTTTTCCGGATTTTCACGGTGGTTTTCAATTAAAAGTAAAATCCTTTTAACTTGTTCCCAGGCCTTGACCACTTCCAAAGCTACAGATTGGAGTACGTTGACAACTGGTTCCATCAAGGCTGAGTATTTGGCTACCAACATAATTCCGAGAATGAAAGAAATTCTGGAAGTAGCCGCATGCAGTTGCCCCTCTAGGAGGGGGGCAACCATCCTGCTGAAAAACTTTTGGTTTTCGAATAAATTTGTGTCATCCTCAATTGCTCTATTGATGCACGGTATTATTCGATTCTCCAAAATATCCAAATATTTGTCACTAGTCAAACTATCGTCGATAAAAAAGGTCCTATGATGTGGTCACCTAAAATTCCTGCCCAAACATTCAGTTTTTGAGGTCGTTGGGTATAAACTTGATGGTATAAATGAGGATTCGTATCACTCCAATATCGACAATTTTGTCGATTTACCTCTCCATTCAAATTGAACGTACATTCATCCGAATAACAAATTTCATACAAGAAATTCTGGTGCAAGTTGATCCGTTCAGTGAGACTTTCACAAAACTCGATCCGTCTATCGAAATCATCTTCGTTCAATTCATGAACTAATCTAATCTTATATGGATGAAATTTGTACTTATGAAGGATCCTGAATGTCTGATTCCTGATTTTCGAGATAACTTAGTAAGAGATTGTAAATTTTCCATTAGTCCAGGGGTCTCCAAACTTTGAAGCCTTCGGGCCATAACGATTTTTTCAGTTTGTTCCAAGGGCCAATTTCTGCCCTTAACTATATTTCTAGACTAGAATAGTCGCAAAGTGCGTGACCTAAG